TGAAGTAAATCTGACTTCTTGGAATTTCGGAGTAACGCAGTTCACTATTTTTTATAATATTTGGTACTGCTTGTGACCCAAATAACTTCGTACCGCCAATATTGTCGATGAGTGTAGCTATCTTTAATTTATTTGGTTATTTCAATTAACAATTTTACAAGCCAAATTAAACAAATACAGAAAAAGTTGAATAGTTTATTAGGATAATAATAGATACAGTGAAAATGAGGAGCTTGATAGCGCAGCGCAAGTGGTTAGCACGTTCGGCTGCAATCGTTGAAATTAAGCAACTTTCGCAGTGGTCGGTCATTGGATGGGTGACCAAAAATTTACTATCTTGAGCTACCCCGTGCTTCGGAAGGCACGTTCAGCCGTTGCTCCCAGCTGCATCTGCAGTCGTTAGCAACTACCAATCCGCACTGGGCCCGCGTGCTGGGTCATGGCCCAATCTTTTTATTACATCGATAAGGAAGGCCTGTGCCCCAGCAGTGGGGACATTAATAGGCTGGTGATGTAACAGTGAAAATTTATATTCACTATAAGAGACCAGGGTTAATTGATTGTCACATATTTGCCCAATATTCTCTCAACACCCCATTCATTCATTTCATTCCCTTCTCTCTCGGTACCTTAAAACTTCTTGGAAAAATGGGAACGATTTTTTATTTTTGAAACTAAAACTGTAACATAATTACTCAATATAAAATTGATTTCGATTTCATTTTCCCAACCAAACCCAAAAATAAACATAAATGATAAACATTAATTTTCTCACTTAGAAACCCCATTTCACGCTTCACGCCCTTAGGGGTCGAATTATGAAACAGACTGAAACACGTATTTACTTAGTTATTCACACTTGTTTAGTAACTTTGTAATGTTAGTTTTCCAAAAATCAATCTGATCGTATTTGCCAATATCAATCTTGGATCCGTCACATTTCTAGGGGGGCTTTTGAATAACATCATTGTAGGGAGGAGGATTTTAGAAAATTTTCAGCGATATCCTTCCAATATTCTGAACTTTCTTTTGATGAGCATTCAGTTAGAAACAATTACCTTATAATTATATAAACTCAAACTCAAACTCATTTATTCAGTCTAGGCTGTTACAAGCTCTTGTGAAAGTCAAACGCTACGCCATCGGTTCGTTAATCTACGGCTGGAGACCTTGTACTGAGAAGAACCGGCAAGAAACTCAGCAAGGGCTATTTTTTTCTCCCTGTTTTGTTTCAAACAGTGTCGTAAATTGAAAGATGACATCAAAAACTAAAAACATGTGTTGATGTCAACTTCCATCACATTAATATTAATAATTAACAAAAGTTAAGTATAGCTAGGTACTACTTTTAAATTTAGAAGTGGTGATTAAACAATTTTCAACCAAATCAGCAAAGTAAAACGACTTAGTTTGTTATATTAAGCCCAAGGTGACTTATCATTTATGAAATCTTTAACAGTATAGTAACCTTTCTTAAGGAGACATGTTTTTATAGACACTTTAAACTTATTGAAAGGTAAATTAATTATTTCTTTTGGTATTTTATTATAGTAACATATGCCTTGACCCACAAATGAACCAAGAACCTCTTGGAGTCTCAACGGTGGCAATTTGAGTTTATCTTTATTTCTGGTATTGAAATTATGTACATCATCGCGCATCATCATATAGATTAAGGTCGCTAGGTATCTACGTGTTTGTCTTCCACCATTGTATTTGCGGTAAATCAACCTTCTCGCTGAATCCAAAAGATTTGAATGTTCTCGTCAATTCTGTGTGTAGTCTGATTTGACTTCTAATTTGTTTTTTTAGCCATGCAACATCGCGGGTGTGATGGTGAAGGTTTGCGACCCTGACTCTCCTCCGGCTCCCACCCTATACGTATTCAGCACGAATGAAGCCACCATCAAGCGCAACGGTTGGCCGTTATTGCATAATGCTATAGTAGATACTACTGTGTTCTGCACAACCAGCAATGTTCCAGTCAATAGCGTCAGGGTTGTACCCAAAGTAACGAATATGGAGGTCGTTAACTACGACAACAACGTCTGGGAATCTTATGAATAAATCTGGATTCTGAAACGATATTTTTTTAGTTTTACTTATAAATCAACTCCCAGCGATTGTGGAATATGAGATTTTACTAACTTTGGCAAAATGCCCAATGTCGTGTACAGAAGTTAAATAACCTGACTGATTTTTTTTCTCACCTAAAAATATGATGAAGATCTTGGTAGTGCCAGTAATTACAAATCAGACAGGAGGTGCCACTGACATTAGTAACTATAGGCCTATTCCGTTGGCAACAATTGTAGCTCGGATTCTGGAGATTGTGCTTGATAAACACTTAAGTGACTACCTTCTTTTACATGATGCACAATTGAGTTACAGGCCTGGACTCTCTACTAAGTCTGCTGCTCAGTATCAAGCACACTGTCCGGTACTATACAGAACGAAAAACTTTATTTATTGATGTGTCAAATACCTTTTATCTTGTGTCATAAAAGAAACTGTTTCCTTGTGAGCTCATAGAGTTCTGAATTCTGGCATGGGTCAAAAGAAAATGTTGTGAGGTGGGCACACAAGGCAGGATTACTCGTACATCACTTTAGCTGTTCAATTTGTACATCAACAATCGTACATTCCAAGGTTGGATGCTCTATTGATGGAAAGTATGTTAATAACATAAGCTACGCTGATGAAATGGTGTCATCAAAACCATCAATCAATGCCCTCAAAAAGCTTTTGTTTATATGTGAGAGTTATGCAGAGGCCCATGGTCTTAGATATAATGGCTCTCTGCTTACTTTTAGGGTAAGTGGTAAACAATGTACACAGGTTACTCCAGTGGCACTCGATGGCACAGCGTTTAAAATGGTCCCTAGCTTAAAGTATTTGAGTCGTTAGATTGACCCACCTTTCGGGCAGTCTTCACAGGGTACCGCAACCCCACCCGCACTCCTGACCCGCAATGCTGGGACTACGGTCCTAGCAATGCGGGTCGGGTGACACGGTGCAGGGATATTGTCTGGTTTTTAGTGGCCCTGTTCAGAGCGTAGGTAGGGCCCTGTACACTTCATCTGGCCTCAGGGTTAGCTGAAGTGGACAGGGAGGAGTCCCACATACCTTCTTCTCGCTCCCCCAGTGGTTGAAGGATGCGGAAGGCATTTTCCAGATAAAAAAAAAATGTTGACGCAACTTAGAAATATGACATGGATGTTGAGAGAGGGCGTAGAGAGTGCCCTACGTTCTCTCTCAACATCCATGTCACTAATGTGATGGTCCGCGGTTTGCAGGTTGCTCAATAAAAGTTAAGCTAGCGTTATTTAATGCTTTTGCCAAGTTTTTACACATGCAGTCTGTGGATCGATTTAACTCGGGGGACGCTCAGCCCCTACTGAGTATAGAAAGAAATAAAAAAAATGTTTTTATTGCTGACAACACATAACATACACATAAAAATACATTTAACTTAAAGTAAAACAAAACGTACAAGTAAAGTTAACAACAACAAAAAACAAACAAACAACAGATAGTAAATGTGTATTTTATGTGATGCCAACACTGATATAACTCAGCATACACAGCAGGTAAAGTTCCTGCTGCACTGGTATTCTGCCATACCCAGAGCAGTGACATCACAGAAAACAAGAAAAAGGAAAAATGAAATTAATTACATCCCAATTAGAAAACAAAAAGAGCAGTAGAGTTGTCAACCCATAGCAGATAACACATAGCAGTAGAGTTGTCAACCATACTGTACAATATAGTATTCTATTATAATTAAATTTAATTTCAAAAATATTTAAATATACTTATTAGGCGAAACTACTATATTTCGCTTAAAGCAGTCTCTAGCCAGTAAAAAGCTTTCTTATAATAAAAAAATTGGTTATTAAGGCATACAGCAGCAAACATTTATTCATTTCAAAAATAAAGTAAAAGTTTTAACCACATACACTATATATATTTTTTTTTTTTACCGAGTACAATAATGATTTTAGGATGCTGTTCAGCCTGCCGCGTTTCTGTAGCGCCTCGGGTATGTTGGCGGAGGCGAGAGTAGATACTTTTGTAGGTATTATTCGCAACCAAATAGTCTTCTTGAGGATAAGAACTCACGGAGCGGTGTTTTCCTGCAACAACCGCAGGCGGTACCACTGCCGTTTTATTTCAAAACTCACGATGCCGCAGCTTTCTGCAGTCCCGCAGCCGCCGCGACTGGGTGAAACTTGCCGCATCTACGGGTGTTAAATCGCGCCTTGAGTTTTGATTTTGCGTTTTACCTACAACACATTCTGCTTGAGTTGCGGTCCCGCGGCGGACGACACATAGAGAGAGTGTCATTTTTTAAATCCTCAGACTACAGCACTGATATTGCAAAAGTTGTGATTTTTTGGAATATCCTAGATTATGTATTGTTGTATTCCTGAGGTGAGTAATGTTGCTAAATGTTATGGGATACAGTGGAGAAATGAGGTCAAGATAGCCAAAGAGACCAGGATGACATAACTGATACAGCAAAATCCATAAAGTATGGCGTCGACTTGCACAAAGAACCAAAACTAAAGTACAATGGCGACTTTATGAGATTTGTCGCTGTCACATAATGCATTCTTTCGGTTCTATTTCAGACGTTTATTCATCCTTCCTTCTCCTTCCATCCTTCAAAGTTATACCAGGAGAAAGTTCTGGATCACAAACATGCCCAATAAGCTTGGCACCCAACGTGAGACTCCCCTGACCTCCCTGACCACCTTGAATCCCCTGCCTCTCCCTGACCACCCTGATTTTTTATCCCATCTGATAACTGGCCAATGCCCAGTTTACCAAGGTTCGTCAAATCTCATCTTTCACAAGTGCTGTTGGGAGTTGCTGTTTGTAAACAAAACTCAGAATGATCGTTTCAGGATCCACATTTATTGAAAAGATCACGAACATTTACTATAGCCGATAACCATTAGTCTAAACGCAGGTGTTGCTGTCGGATTTCATGACCTTCATACTCTGAGGGGCACAGCCCTGACGCTGCCGACTTGATGAGTGTCGAATTTGCAGAACACGGTGGTATCTACCGTGGCACTGTGCTGTATCGGGTTACCGTTGCGAGTGACGATGACTTCATTCGTGCTCAGTACGTCCAAGGTGGGGACTGGAGGAGAGTCAGGGTCGCAAACTTTCATCATCATACCCACGACGTCGCACGGCTAAAAAACAAATTAGAATTCAAATTTAGACTACACACAAAAATGCTGAAAATATATCAAATTTTTTAGATAGCAAGGTTGATTAAGCGCTAATCAATGATGGAAGACTACGAAAAACATGAATATACCTCATGTCCTAATCTATATAACTATAAGGAAACCGTTACTGACAGAATGATACAGCAAAATAATAATAATAATCAACACATAGTTCAAAATATTGAACGTATTGCTCTGAAATTCGGCACGCGGGTAGTTACTATAACGTGAACATCCACTAAATAATTTTCCAAATATCAAATAATTTTCCAATCCAAAATTCACCTTCTGGGAATGTGACGGATCCAACGTTTGTATGGACAAATAAGATAAGATAGAACATTTATAAGAAACTTTACAGGAATACGTGCTTCAGTATTTTTCAAAATTCAAACCCCAAAGGCGTGAGATGAAGGCCCAAAATAAAAAATCTTTTTAGACATTATTTAAGTTAAGACTTTGTTATAAGTATCTGTTGTTTTAATGTTTGTAGAATTAAATTTATTCTATCTATTAAAGTCGGAGTGACTTTAATAATTCAAAAAAAGAAATTTAAAAAAATTACGATGGATTATATGACAACATTACCATCAAACAAGACATTAGTTATTATGGAGTGTCAAATATTTCGCGAAGTCTGATACAGACTTCTCTTTCTATGCTTTCTACAAGAACGTCTTCGTCGATAAAGTTAGCCGTTGGTGAATTTATCTGGTTAGTGTAATAAGTAAATACAATACTTGCTTGTGAAATTGATAAATCCCATTTTTGCTGATATGGTGGCAGGTTGAGACGTGGCAGCTGGACCGGAATATGGTTTAAGTCACCTGAAATAGGAAGCACTCTTAATAGAATCATTAGTCCAGTCAATGAAAAATCCACTAAATGAGCTACAACGTTCTCCTCCGAGGTTCAACGAAATCGGAGGTGAAAACCTTCATTGACCTTCATGGACCATTTGTTCCCATGATATTTGTAGAGAAAAATTTTAAAGTTCCAGAGAGTTCCTTTAGATTTAAAATCTGTTTTTAGACACCTGTTTATAAGATTAATCGTGCTGTTGTGTTTTGTTTCAGACGTGATTTAATGCTGCAAGCTGAAAAAATCCCGATCCAAACATTAACCGATATAACGTCCACGCCGGTTACCTGAGAATATTGTGCGGCCACTGTCTTTGCATCTGGCTGATTCTGGTCACGCTTAAGACCAGGAAGGTTAAAGACACTATCCAAGCCTTCACTGAGAAGTTAGTGTAAACATTTTGACTCCTCACCTTTAGCGACAGTGGTACACTTGTCATCGCGTGCACTTACAAGCGCAAGAAACGCGAAGACCACAAAGCTTTTGACTAAAGTTGGTGACATTTTTGAGCTGCACTTACTAATGTGTGCGCCGCAGTGGGCTCACACATTTTATATAACAATTACTGGACACACCGAATCAAATTATAATAATCAGATTTAAAGCCATGAAATTATATATAAATATGTTTTTTATTGATAATTTCAGTGGAAGTGACGTGAATGCGTTTTTGAATGCGTGAATTATATAAAACAAGAAATGTCGTGCGGTTTCAACCGTATTAATATAAGGAGAAAGGTTACAGTGGGTCACTCTTAAAAATAAGCCTTTTTAGGATTGTGTTTTGTGAAAAATAAATAAATAAAAGTACTTAATAGGTACGCATAACAGTACAAACTGTGAGTTAAAAACACCAAAGTTATTAGGTTACATATACATACAAAAGAAGAAAAAGGTATAATTTATTTTTCGTTCTTCGTCTTAATTGGAAAACCATACATAATTATGTTTTTATTTTTTAAGTATGTAACTGCTAGATGTTTAAATCTAAATAAAAGTTTACTTGAAAATATTCCACGCGGACCAGGCTGCAGACGGGACTCGAACCTGCACCCTTCGCTATCCGGGCGAATGCAAAGGGTTCGAGTCCCATTTGCTGCCTGAACTGAATTCACATAATTTTAGAAATTGAACTTTTTGCTGCGAATTTGAAAATCAAAAAAAGCTTCTTTGGAGGTGAGCTCGCAAGTTTATTGAATTTCAAAATCGCAACTATTTTATCTCTTAGGTCCCGATTCCTCACACATCGGAAATTATAAAAACCAATTTATATTAATCTATGTATCTCAACTAGAATACCCAAATCAAAGTCAAACTGCGTCTCAAACTCAAAATCAATTCGATTTTATTATTTTTTTTATACTGTGGCGGCGACATCTACATGCCCCACATATAATGAACATAGAGGAAATATTCACTCGCCTCCTTAAGAGATGGCGCTACCGGCGCTGCGTTCGCAACATAAGGAAGCCTACATCGCGCAAGTGAAATACGGCAGCCAACAGTTCATATATAAGATGCCCGACCAACATCAGTCGGGCCGCGGCCCCCGAGCTACCTCCACCCAGCTCGGAGGAAGATCTTCACCTTTGGCCTTCCTACAATACGAATGATAACCCCCGTTTTTTTTTGTTTCCTCGCAGGCGGGGGAGCGGGTGTGAAATCCTCATGAATACTCTACAGCCGGCTGCAAGGTTATGTCAGGCTTTTACTAACTAAAAGCACGGTAATATTATCTATATTATTACCGTTCTAAAAGCTTCATCTGAAGCGATCATCCCGTGAGAAGGAGAGGATGTGGTATAACCGCCGATCTGTTCAAGTGCTTATATACTTTTTATAAAAACATAACGTTAGCGCGATACAGAAGCCTCATAACTCATAAAATATTGTTCGTTCCACAACGCAATTAATACCAACGGCATCTACTTGCGTTATGGAACTAATAATATTTTATTGTGATTTTTAAATAGTTTTTTTTTTGTATTTGTTGCAATGCAAGGTTTTACGGTACAATAACTTCATTTATGTCACTATTAATGTTTTCTTCTAAGGAATTTTCAATAGGTAAAAAATTTTCTTTAACCAAAGTTGAACGACTTTTACCCTTAAACTAACAAATCTATCTAAACCGTTATAGTTTTGCTTAAAGATTCATGAAAAGAACTATTATCATGAACTTTTCCAGGTTTTACAAGCCAATAGTTTAGCTTTTAGATGGAGGGGGGGACTTACTCGAACTAAAATTAGCAATTTAAAGTTCAACCTTTCGCAAACAGATCCTTAAATCGAAAAAAAGTCTTTGTAACTCAAAGTAATTTTAAAGGACCTATTCAATGATACCCCACACAATGGGGTAGACGATGAAAAAATAAAATCAACTCCAGGATACATGTAGAGGAGCCTTAAAAAATATTTTTCAAAATTTTATTCTTACATTTTGTCGGCGTGATCGATATACATACCTCCACAAAGTTACAGCTCTCTAGTGGTAACAGTCTCCAAGCAAAACCGGGGACGGACAGACGGACATGACGAAACCATAACGGTTCCTTGTAAGGACTACGAAACCTTCAAACTAAAATGATGCCATCTATCTATCCTATCTTCAATATTTAATATACTTTCCCTCCATATAGCATGGCCCTGGGACGCCCTGTATAATTATGGACCCGGCTTTATCATTTAGTCCACACACTTGTTTGAAACTTTGGTGATCACTAACATTATATAGCAGACTAGCGGCCCGCCCTCGCTTCGCTTCGGTGTAGAGCTGAAATGTAGACTACAGTTTTTGTTCTCAGGCTTGTATTATACACAATGACATTCATCTATGATTCTTCTTATACCTGCATGCAAAGTCTCAGCCCGATCAGTTTAAAATTGACAAAGTTTCATACAAACTTTCATTCCCTATTTTATCCCCTTGGGGGTAGAATTGATCAAAATACTTTCTTAGCGGATGCCTTCGTCATAACATATACCTGCATGCCAAATTTCAGCCTGACCCGTCCAGTGGTTTGGGCTGTGCGTTGATAGATCACTATGTCAGTCAGTTACCTTTGAGTTTTATATATATAGATAATGGTATTTTTTTTCAACATACCTACGCAATCCAAATGATCAAGTCGATCGGAAAGGTTCTGGTCATCTGAGCTTAGTGCTGGATGCGATCCTAGTATCAGATGCATATCTGATACTGGGGTACCCCCGCCCAAAGATGAGAACAGTACCCCATGTGAAGCCGAACCTATGCTTTATAAAGTTGCAGTCAGTGTGTCATCATCATCATCTGAGCCTTGGGCTTGTCTTCTAAAGACTTAGAAACTGAATCTCGTCAAAGCCAAGAATTCCAATAGTAGCTGAGGCAATTATAGGAATGTTCTCAAAAAGATGGGATACGACAAATGGTATTATTTATTATGCGGTAACCGCGTAATCCTGTCAATATGTTTTCATGGGGTTGAATTGGATAAGATTAAGTCGCTTCCAATCTGATACTTTTCTTAGCAAAGTCTCAACTTCAGACTCAAGTTTGTTCCGGTTCGCGATTACGTTTTCCCATGAAGCCAATGAATGGAGATTTACACAACTTCCTGTTCCATCCATAGGGAATGCCTGTGTTCTAGCAGTGGGGACATTAATAGAATGCTGATGAAGATGACGAATTGTTGACGCGATTAATAGGCCGGCATCACCCAGCCTATCCGCTGACTTTTTTTTATATTTACAGTATGTAACTAAAGAGAAAATTGCATATCCATCGATACTTTTAAGAACAAGTATCTTAGTGGCATTATAATAAAGTAGTAGTGGGTCACTGAATAGCTCGATAATTACCACTTCCATCTGTCAAAAGCTGTTAGCGAATAGGTCTGTGGTACTGGTGGTCTGGTCTGTAGTCCGCATTCCACTTACTTCATTTATTCTCACTGACTATGATTTGTATTGTGCGCAAAATTATGACAATACTTGTTTCACTCAGTATAATACTTTGAGGTTTAATGAATGACAAGCATAAACAAAACAAAAACGTGAATTTTACTAGAGAATATTTCATCGATCCACTAATTCATCAATTCATCTTTAACGAAGTTCAAACGAAATTTAATTTCGTCAATTTAAAGTTATACTTAATTTGAACGATAAACTATCAAATTAAAGCTTTCTTTGAATAGGCTTAGAAAATCTACACCTGAATTTATACTCTGAACTATTAATTTATAGGTCGAATATTATAAGAATTAAAAACGAACCAGAAGCATAGTAAGAAAAGTGCGAAGATTCTATCGAAATTTCGTTTTTCGCTGAATTAGAGTTTCCGCCAGATATTCGGCCTCCAGGTTCCTGACGGGATTCTAACGCATAAGTTGCGCTGAAGTGGAAGATGCGGGTTCAAATTCCGTCTGAAACTTGGACAATGTTTACATTTTTATGGTAAAAATTGTCTTTAGATTTGAACATCTCCGACCTCATTTGACGACCTCCGTGGCCGAGTGGTTTAAACGCCAGGTTTCCTGGCGACGCCGACTCGAGAGGTCCCGGGTTCGAATCCCGGTGGGGACAGATATTTGTGTGATGAACACGAGCATTTGTACTCCAGTCATTGATGTTTAAATATCTATTTCTATATAAATATACTTATACATGTAAAGTATGTGTATTCTATCCGTTACCCTAGTATCCCATAACACAAGCCTTACAGTGCTTACTTTGGGGCTAGGCTAATTGGTGTGAGTGTTGGAAATATTTATTTATTTATTATGGTATTGTCTTTAGATTTAAACATCTAGCAGTTAAATTCCTGAAAACTCCTTATATTTTAAGTAAAAACGTGCTATTGTTGATAATCCTACCTAACTAAAAAAAACTTGATTAAAGGGGTTCACAGACAAAACACAGAGTAATTGTTTAACATCCAGATTTAATAAAAGCGCTGGTGAGGAAAGATCACATCGGTCTACACCCTCTCACCATATGGGTTATTTGGGCTGGTGGCTTTGCAGAAAACGATGACGTCTACCGAGATGTCATGTAACATCGAATCAGCATTGCGCGTGATCCAGGCTTTTGAAAGGTTCAATATCTCCACGCTGGGTGCTGGGGGGCCGTCAGGGTCGCACACGTTCATCATGACACCAGCAACTTTGCATGGCTGAATGAACAATAAATAAAAATTAGGAGACAAATTATAATACGAGAAATTTTACGAGAATTACTCACATTAAAAGTTTTTTGAAGTTATACTTCTTTAGGCGCGTTATGAAAAAATGATGAGAGTGAAATTTTAAGATGCGCGCGCATCACTGTAACACAAAATTTTAACGCTCACGGTCGCTAAAGCGACCAACTTCATGCTGTTACTTTTGTGTTTACCGCACATTAAGAAAATCTACCAACTAAATAGAAATAGAATCTCTATTTAGTGGGTGCTAACGACTGCATTGTGAAGGCCTATCAAAAGTATTTATTAATCTTGAACAACGGAACCAAAGCGCGATTCAGGAGACTACAGCGCCATCTCTTGACCATTGGTGTAGTAGAACCAAAAACCACATCTTTATTTTTTGTAATAAAGTAACAGTTATTACAGTCAGAAAAAATAAATACTTAAGAATAGGGTATTTGACAAGTTTTAGAAATCGATCTCACTTTATTGACTAATGTTTATGGAGTCCGTAAAAAGTGGATATTCATCATTCTGTTGTGTATTACAGTGAAAAATAACCAAATCAAAAACTGCATATTCAAATTACCGCGAAAACGTTTCTCTGGACAATATGGCGTCTTACTAGTGTGTGACGTCACAAGACTGTTATTAAAACGTCAAACGATTCAATGTAATGTCACTTAACCCGAAGTTTACTTGCGTGTGACGTCATTTTAGGTTCCGCCAATCTCAAGCGTTTTGGGTCACGTGACAATAGATAAGAAAACTATTATCGTTTTCGTGGATTTTTAGTAATATTATGAATATTTTTTTTTGGAAAAATAGTTAAAACACACAAAAAAAAAAACACCAATATCAAAAATTTTAACGATAATTTTATGATATTATTAACTTCAAAATGTTCTATTATCGCGCGGGAAAGTTAGCCGTGGGCGTATTCTACTTGCAAATGTTATCAACACTACTATTATAAAGGCGAAAGTTTGTGACTGTGTCAGTGTGTATGTTTGTTACTTCTTCACGTCTAAACGGCTTGAGCGATTTTAATAAAATTTGATTTTACTGCCGGAAAATGAAAGAGAGAGAGAGAGAAAGAGAATCATTTTTATTGACCACATTAATAAATTTACAAAACAACATACAAAAAAATCTGAAAATACACATGATGGAGAAAGAAAAAAAATATACACTTCTGGACACATCTATTGGCCCACCTTAGAGTTTAGGTTTCGATGGCCCCTACCGAAATATGATTGCTAGATTGAACAAAAACTGTTGATGCAGTTTAAAACCTGATACATTTTACCATCTTTTTCGATCGTATTGTTTTAAGTTTGAATTCAGAATACCATACGACATGGAGCTACGCCTAACAAGTCGGATATGCGCCTTGTTAAAGGCAATTGATTTTTGAATAAAAAACATTTTTTATCAAATAAAGGTTTAATTTAATAACGCGTGTTGCCTCCATGGGCATCTACCACAGCTCTCATACGATTAGGCATAGAGTTTATCAACCGCTCTATGAAATTTTGAGGGATCATCTCCCATTCCTCTTCTATGGCAGTTTTCAACTCCTGCATCGTCTGGGCAACTGGCTGATGAGCCCTAACACGTCTTTTTAGCTCGTCCCACATGTGCTCAATGGGGTTCATGTCTGGGCTTCTGGCTGGCCAGTCCATAACTGTGATGTTCACATCCCGAAGATATTCCCTGACGATGCCGGCCGCATGGGCTCTTGCATTATCATGCATAAAAAGGGAATTGGGGCCCACATAGTCCGCGTATGGTATCACGTGAGGTTCTAAGCACTCACGAATGTACCTTTCAGCATTTAATGTTGGCAGCCGTGGTCCTGTAACAACCTCAAGTTGAGTTTTGCCGCTCGCGGATATACCGCCCTAGGCAGTCCATGAGCCACCGCCATAAGCAACCCTCTCTTTAAAGCAGCATTGTGCGACGCTCTTCCTTACGTCGGTAGACCTTCTTCCTTCTATCATTGCCATGTAACACAATTTTAGACTCATCAGAAAAGAGTACACGGCTCCAATCTTGCTGTGTCCAATTTAAATGACTGCGTGCGAAATGAAGGCTCGCTGTTCGGTGGGCCCGCGTTAGTTTGGGCCCATTAGCTGGCTTGTGTGGTACCATATCGCGTTCTTTTAACCTTCTCCGAACAGTTCGAGTGCTCACAGATACTCCGTGGAAGTCGCGAATTTGTTTTTGTATCTCAATGGAGGTAAGGTGACGATTTCTCAAGCTGGTCGTCACGATGAATCGATCCTGCCTTTCAGTTGTGACCCGAGATCGTGGCCTTCCTTGGCGACGAACTAAGCCGCCAGTCTCGAGGTACCTCCGATAAACATTTCGGACCGCAGATCGACTTAAATTAAGTTGAGCACTCACGTTTCTTTGGCTGTGTCCGGCCTGAATAAGTGCCACAGCTTGGGCGGCGACTTCAGGTGAAGTATCCATAGATTATTGATATAATCTCACCTTAATGTTAAGAATAAGTAATGTTTGTTGCAAAACCAAAGATATCAATCACTTTTTCAAGAATTAAATCCAAGTAAACCAATAAAACCAAGTTTTCTTAGTATTCGATTGTTTGATATCAACAAACAGGCTCCAAATTGTCTTTTGTTTCTTTAAATTCTGTGTTCGAAATTCAAAAAAAGACCATAGAATGAAATTGTGAATGTGCCAGGTTCAAAACTGCATAAACACTTTTTGCTCGACCTAATATAAAATTTTAGCTAGGACCAAACGAAACTGAAAATACAAGGTGGGCCAATAGATGTGTCCAGAAGTGTAGTATCATTTGTAGTCAATCAGGACCCTGCCTCAGCGTAATGCTGCCGCAACACGCCACAAAACGTGTCACAGCAGCGCTGGTATTCTGGCAGGGCCTGTTACACCGGAACTTCACATGGCCAATCGCATCCGCCTCGATAGCAGTCCCTTCCTCTCACTGCCCGTTGTGGATACACATCTACCAAATAGCAAACACGATTAGCCACATGACGTGCCGGCACAAGGTGCGAAAGAATACACTTTCTGTAATCTGTGCTCCCGGAAAATATCCCACATCTAGTAAGTAATATTAATACTTGCTTGTGTAATTGGTATAAACCATGATGGCTGTAGTTTTGGAAGGCTGTAACGGGGAAACATGACCGGTGTTCCGGTCAAGGCACCTGAAATAGTGAGCATTCTATAAAATCGCTGGTTTTAATGATATCTGTACATGTAAAGAGTTATAGTAATATAAGTTATTTACGGGATTGTTACCATGTACCTTGTTTTTAGCGAGTTTCCGATATTTCGGCACTGTTGCAAGCGCCATGATCACGGAGTAACTGAAGCAATTGCGGGTAGGTTGTTATTGGCAGACTTAACGGTCTACCCACCGACGAAGTCATTTTTTGGGGCCGATACCCGTATAAAAGACTTCGGTATTTCCGGGTAGGTTGTTATTGGCAGACATATCGGTCTACCATCCGACGAAGTCTTTTATTGCGTTCGATACCCGTAAAACTTCGTCGGAGGGTAGGCCGATATGTCTGCCAATAACAACCTACCCGCAATTACTTCAGTTACTCCGTGATCATGGCGCCTGCAACAGTGCCGAAATATCGGAAACTCGCTAAAAACAAGGTACATGGTAGCAATCCCGTAAATAACTTATATTACTATAATGTTAGTGCCCATGAAAGTTTAAAACAATATATTGTAAAGAGTGAGGACTAATATCCCTAGATATAATATCTGTGCTATGACATATGAATAGAAAAGGGTGCCCTGTTTTGTTTAACGGTGTTCATTGCTGCAAGTTGGAAAAATCCAGATCGTCCGCGCCGGTAAATTAAGAATCCTATGGCAGCACTATTTTTTGATCTGGCTGAATCTGCTCATGCTCAAGGCCAGGTAAATTGAAAACACTTTCCATGCCTTCATTGAAAACTTAGTGTTAACATTTTGAAACCTCACCTTTAGTGACAGTGGTACATTTGTCATCTTGTGCACTTACAAGCGCAATAAACGCGAAGACCACAAAGCTTTTGATTAAAGTTGGTGCCATTTTTGTGCTGGACTTAACAATGTATGTGCCGCAGTAGGCACACGCTTTCTTTATATAACAATTGCTGGAGCACACCGAATCAATTTTTAATTTTCTCACTTGAAACCATGAAATTAGGCAAATATGAATTATTTTTTAGGGTTCCATACCTGAAAAGGACAAAACGGAAACCTCTTATGATCACTTTGTCTGTCTGTCCGTCGGTTGATCCGGCTTTTTGACAAGATCCTTAATCATGGGAATGCGTCGATGTATCTGTAAGGTTTGTCATTTCAAAGAGTATTTTTTGTGATTTATTAAATTAAAAGTAAGTCGTTTGACTTGCATTACTCGAGTAGTAAGGATTCAAGGCTGAGCGCTCGTACTAGATGGTCGTGTAATGAAGAGTAATACGGATAGCGAAGTATAAAGGAATCCCAAGTGTTGAATGGCTGTGTTTTATTTTAATTCAGAAGTGGTCAGTCAGTCAGTTCATGCTCACATTTGATATTTATTTTTTGGGACTTTAAGGTTCACTTGGCCCACCGGATTAGCAAGTTAAAGTGGCAGTGGGCTGGCCATATTTGTCGAAGAACCGATAACCGTTGGGGTAGACGAGTTCTGGAGTGCAGACCGCGTCTAGGCAAACGTAGTGTAGGACGTCCTCAGGCGCGATGGAGTGACGATTTGCGCAAGGTGGCTGGCAGGAGCTGGATGCGAGTAGCCCAAGATCGATCTGAGTGGCGTGCATTTGGAGAGGCATATGTCCAGCAGTGGACTAAGATAGACTGTTGATGATGATGATGAAGGTTCACTTTGTTGTCCGTCCGTCCGTCTGTCTATCAAGATCTCAGGAACGCGTGGAGGCAAACATCTAGTTTTTTAATTTAAGCCATATACTCAGGTCTACAGTCCCATAAAGCTGTAAAAGAAGCAAACTTCTAAGTTAACGTAAAAAAGAAATACGGCACTGATGTTGCGTAACTACAAATTTGACGACCTCCGTGGCCGAGTGGTTTGTACGCCGGGTTTCATGGTGTCGCCGACTCGAGAGGTCCCGGATTCGCACCCCGGTGGGGCCAGATTTTTGTGAGATGAATACGAGCATTTGTACTCCAGTCATGGATGTTCAATACGCATTTCTATAAAAATATACTTTTATATGTACAGTATATGTATTCTATCCGTTACCCTAGTATCCCATAACACAAGCCTTACAGTGCTTACTTTGGGGCTAGGCTAATTGGTGTGAGTGTTGGAAATATTTTTTTTTTATTTTAAATTTGTACGGAACCCTCGGCGGGCGAATCCGACTCGCATTTGTTCGGGTGTTTTCAATTTCCATTGCACAAAATTCTCAGTTGAAGATTTGTTTGGACTGATGTTAAGATAATAGACAATTCTTATACATATAAAAAAATATACTAATATTATAAAGCTGCAGAGTTTGTTTGTTTGTTTGAACGCGCTAATCTCTGGAACTACTGGTCCGATTAGAATGATTCTTTCAGTGTTGGGTAGTCCATTTATCGAGGAAGGCTACAGGCTATATATTTTTTCAAAATTAGGGATCCGTAATAAAATTGCTATTTTGTAACACAAGGTGTAAAATCGAAAACCTATTTTTGCGTGCGCTGCAAAATCTATTGACAATAGAACAAAATGATGTACTACGGGTTTGTAGATCCCATTAAGACCTATAAAAAAGTCTGCGAGAACATATATCTAGCTATCATGGTTTAATCACAATAACCGATTTTGTGTTCAAAATAATTATTAAATCGTCTGAAGAAGAAAAAAGTACGTTAAATATGTATTGTAATATTAGAAACCCAAAACAACCCTTAATTTTCACCCCGTGTTTTCACCCCTCTACCACCCATATTTTTATGGCGATACGAAGTTCGCCGGGTCAGCTAGTATCTCTTATTTATTAGACAAGTCCGTCCGTCCGTCCGTCCGTCCGTCCGTCTGTCTGTGATGCTGTTTCAGCGGCCAAACCGTAAGAGATAGATAAAGAGAATATTTAAGTTATAAGTTAAGAATAGTCTGATAAGACTACAAACCGGATTTGAGTAACGTAGCACTTCCGGTTTTCGAGAAATCACGAATTTCAAACGAAACCACACAAAATCTTCGTAGTTCTCAATTAATTAAATACATTTTTTTTTGGTGAACATTTGGCTCACTGGTTTGCTAGTATTATATTATATATTGTTTTAAACTTTCATGGGCACTAACATTATACCTATTAACGGGATTGTTACCATGTACCTTGTTTTTTATGAGTCTCCGATATTTCGACACTTCCGGAATCCAGTGGTTCGTATGTGCAAAAACCGCAAAAGCCAAAAAAAGTGTTGTTCCGCGATCTGATACTGTGAGTATTGTGTGTCGGGAACAGGTGTGAATGAATAGTGAGAATGTGACCAATGGTAGGGGTATCGAGCGTAGTAAAAGACGACAGAGGGTAGACCGATATGTCTGCCAATAACATCTACCCGCAATTACTTCAGTTACTCCGTGATCATGGCGCTTGCAACAGTGCCGAAATATCGGAGACTCATAAAAAACAAGGTACATGGTAACAATCCCGTTAATAGCTATAATATTATATTATTAATTTTTTGCCTAAACAGTAGGACACGGCATTCCTAAACTTAGTTAAACCAGTTTTTTATATAGTCATAATTTTTATATTATTTTCATTTGTAATGGAAAGTGACTTTATGAGTTACCTCATATTGAAGTCATTTTTCAATTTGACGACTCTGTATATAATAAAGGGAGAAAAATTGACTTGCTGAGTTCCTTGCCGGTTCTTCTCAGTACAAGGTCTCCCACCGTAGATTTGAGAACTGATGGCGTAACTTTTCGACATTCACAAGTGCTTGTAACAGCCTAGACTGAATAAACGATATTGAATTTTTGAATTTTCATTGGCCACCCTTAAGAATCTCCACTTCATCACTACATTCGGTCGGTTCACTCGGTGGGGGAGCCTACCCATTGAGCGTGCTCCCGTGGGCAGTCTCCATTTGAAAGTCTTTCTAGCCCATAATAGGTTTTTCCTGCTTTTTGACGTGACAACGTCTTAAATTAGGTTGCGGCTGGGAGTCACTTATGAAAAAGTGTAACGCTCGGTAACGTTACGATGAGTTTAAGTTTACATGTACAATGTTTTAGTAAACAAAATATATTTCTATAGTTAAAATTTGTGCAATTCTTATTTTCATTCAATTCCTTGTTCCTATTGTGCAATTTAATTATATTCATATCAATAAATATTCTACCGAGAAAAAGACGTTGTCACGTAAAATCTTCGCCCGTAAAACCGACTTTACAGGCAACCATTTTTTTTTTTCAGCTTTGCGATCCTTTTAGCTTTGTCGCTTACGTTAGTTCTCCTGCGGATATCCCTCCTTCTGAATCTTTATCTCTGGGTTTGAGGACCTCCGTGGCTGATTGGTTTGTATGCCGATTTCATGTTGTCGCCGACTCGAGAGGTCCCGGATTCGCACCCCGGTGGGGCCAGATTTTTGTGAGATGAATACGAGCATTTGTACTCCAGTCATGGATGTCATTATCATTTAAATAAGTATACCTCGAGTTAAAATAAGTATAACTACATTCGTTCAGTTTGATTCTAAAGTTAGTATTTTCATCTCAATACCGATCGAATAAGTAAATATCACTAGCTTGATTCGATGTACTTGTTATCAAAACAACAGAATCTATTCCTTACTCGTATTAACATGTATCGTAACTTATTGTATTTACCTGGTATCAAAACAACAGTATCGTGTACTTGCTCGTATTTACTTGTATCGGAACATCCCTAATGAAGTGTCATGAAGTTGCGCGCCTTCAAGCGCGACGCAAGTTGTATTGCGTTTGGAGGTAGTGTCGCCGCACAAGGGCCACACGCCACAGCCACAAACGCCGCCACGAGAAGCTAGAAGCGGCTACTAAAGTGGCTGAAGCGCGCGACAGCGGCCGACTAAGGTAAGGGAGAGAGGGGTGGGGAATCGCGCGAGTGACGTGTGGCGGCGTTTTGTATCGGCGCATTAAGTGGCCGGTGCGGGCCACAAGAAGCGAGCAACGACGGCTTGTAGCGTGTAGCGGCCACCGGCGTACCGTGTGTGGCGAGTCCAAATAAAATGTATGAAAACTCCAAGAAATATGCCGGTGGCGGCGTTTTGTGGTTGTGGTCGGTGGCCCGTGTGCGTGGCCGTGGCGGTGCTTAGCTTTATGACTGTAATTAGCCTACTGTACTTTGATGTCATAGGTACATAACATTCTAAGAAAAATGGGTGCGTGTACTTATGTAGGCGCGTGAGAAGTTATCCTTCTTTGGCATCGTTTAAAATTAGTTTTTAATTGCATGCAAATAATTAATTACAATAAATTAATAAAAAGTCTGGAAAAGGACACAGTCAATAAAGTTCAGTTTTAATTTGAAAAAATAAATAAATAATCAAAATATTCAATTAAAATCGCTACTGAATATAATTTATTAGAACATATGTGATTTGCACTTGTATGAAACTCAAACACGTATTCCGAATATACAAACTAGAAACATGTGGACAAATATTATAAATATGAATACCTTTAACTGTTACTTTATTACAAAAAATAAAGATGTGGTTTTTGGTTCTACTACACCAATGGTCAAGAGATGGCGCTGTAGTCTCCTGAATCGCGCTTTGGTTCCGTTGTTCCATATTAATAAATACTTTTGATAGGCCTTTACAATGCAGTCGTTAGCACCCACTAAATAGAGATTCTATTTCTATTTTGTTGGTAGATTTTCTTAATGTGCGGTAAACACAAAAGTAACATGTTGTTAATTTTTGTGTTACAGTGATGCGCGCGCATCTTAAAATTTCACTCTCATCATTTTTTCATAACGCGCCTAAAGAAGTATAACTTCAATAAGTAAAGAAAGTTTTTACGAATTATTGTCTATGGTTAGGCTATTTACAACAAAAAAGACGTAAACATGAGACCAGATATAT